ATACGTGTTCTATTGTCTCGGGCTGCTTACAGAGGACGCAGTGCTCTGACCATGCTGTTGGTACGCCTTTAGCGATAAGCCATGTTTTAACGGGCAGGGTTTCACTGTGCAACTTAAAGAAGAAAGTTTTCACGTTCGCGGGAACTACCATCTTTTTAACTCTTTAAAACGTCTAGTCCCGGGCCTGCACTGTATCTGGACCGGTACAACGGGACAGGAAATAACAAATCAATCAAATCTCTTGACAAACGTTTACGAGAAACCTCAGCGAGATACTCCAAAGAGAAACGCGTCGCTAAAAAGCGGCACGCACCGATGACTTCCTTAAAATAGCCCTATGCACCAGAAAAACAATCATCACACGACGCAACTACAAACTCTGGCAAAACATTGTACAGCCTTAACTGAATAACAGTCCCAAGAAAAGGGTCTTTCTGGTCACGAAGAAAAAGAAATCTGTTTTGACCAGTTGTCTTATGAACATGTGTGTGAGGCCTAGCCCCCCGTCTTTCACCCGACGAAAAATATTGGTTCGACACATTCTTTCCCAGGAGGAACTCCAGACAAGAACAGCAAAAACCCGATGCATACGCTGTATTTTAATTCGCGAACAACGTATCACCTGTACTACGTACCACATCGGAGCCACCGAGGCGGCTCGTGGCGGCGTGAGCGTAAACGCCGTCAGTTTGTCCGCTAAATATAGCGAAAACATGACGTCACTTGGCCAATGCACCAATTAAGTTTCCCCGCTAAATTTGGCCGGAAACTCATGTCACGTTGCCAGACGTCACAGTACCTAAACACAAATTCATGTGCCTCACTAAATTTAGCGAAACAATTGACGCCACGTGGCCAATGTACCAATTCAGTTCCCCCCTTAAATTTGTCGGAAAATTTGATATCCTGTTACTTCACGTCACGGGACCTACTGAAAAATTCAAATTACCGCTAAATTTAGCGGAAATATTTACGTCACGTGACTTATGCAGCAATTCAGTTTTCCCGCTAAATGTGGCGGGAAAATTTATGTAGCGTCACCCGACGTCACGGGACCTACTGAAAAATTCCGTTTCCTGGATACATTTTGCGAAAAAAATTTACGTCACGTGAGCTATGTACCATTTCAGTTTCCCCGATAAATTTGGGAGGAAAATTCATGACGACATTAAAATCATGTATTTATCAACAACGCTGTCGCATTGGGTCCCGGCGCGGACCAACGACGCTAAACCGAGTCACGCTCAGATCCCAGAGTCCAACTAAAAAGCCTCCCATAGAAATATCTTGAAACCGCTGCATGGCTAAATACGACCAGTGGGACCCACAATACTTTCCGTGGACGCTTCTGCATTTGGTAGAGGCACAGTATTGCTCCAAGAGCAAGAAACCTATCAACGGCGTCCAGCGGCTTTCGCCTCAGGGTCTTTAACGCCAGCAGTGTCGCTCTACGCTCAAATTGAGAAGCATTTGTGACGGCGTGGGCGAGAGGCTTTTGAAATGGTCGTTGGGATCTGAGCGCGACTCTGTTTACCGTCGTTGGTCTACGCCGGCGCCCAACACGACAAACCTACCGACGCTACATCAACGAAACGTCATTTCGATATTGTCACGAATGACAATTGATGAGGCGATGATAATTGAAGAAACTAAACGTTTAAAGGGGCGAACTTGTGTCCAAAACAAAAATGAAACTGAAGGTAACAACAGTGCGTCGCGGGCGTTGAAGTCGGCAGCTGAGTCGAACGCCGGGGCAAGACTGACTCCGGCTTGCCACGCGGGAGCACCTTTTGTACCGGCGCGGGTTTCTGGAACATTCGGCCTAGAACTTTCGGCGCGTAGAATATTTGTGACTCGGTGAGACGAGAAAGTTCTCACACTTGCGAGAATGACAAGTAGAAAGAATAAATAAAAGACACTTCTCTCCCAGGAAGCGAGCTCTGGCTTTTTGCGTGGGAGGCAAGCATGATAACCCTTAGACCACGGCCGCGCTGCGTGCTTGGCCAGCTGCGCGCGCGGAAATATCAGATCAACGTATGCCGCACGATCGGCACAATTTTAATCGATCATGATCGGCATAATAAGTTTCCAAAATCACGAGCGTTGGACAAGGTCTTAGTCAAGCGAGACACAAAATCTTATTGAGAGTCAGTTGAACGCAGCTTAAAATGCGACCCCATGTATTTCTGGCGGTACAGCAATGATCGCATGACCGCGTCCTCTTCTGCGATAAGCCTTTGTGCCGCATCTGGTAAAGCGCTGAATGAACCTGCATGTATGTCAAACACATTCGCTGATTATTTAGAATCTGTTTACTTTTCAAACCAAGCCGCGTTATGCACGCCTTGATGATAGTAACAAATATATTGATGATCTCTCGATTACGGGTTTTCAAAATGCTGAAGTCTAGATCGGGATAAAAAGTCTAAAACCCAAGGCTATCAATGGCTTGTGATGGCATACCAAGATTTATTGTTAAAGGTTGTTCCTCAAATATTACGCCAATATTAACGCTTGTTTTCAACTTGTCTCTATTAAGTTTTATTTTTCCGAACTTTTGAAAAATTATGTCATTGTACCTTTTCACAAAGGTGGAGAGGCCGTTGACGTAAAGTATCACAGACCGGTATCCTTGCTTTGTGCTTTTTCGAAAGGTTTTGAAATCGTTTTGTTTGAGCATTTGTCACAATTTTTCAGGTGTAAAATTAGCATTTCACAACATGGTTTCTTCTCTGGCAGGTTTGTATAGACCGATCTAGTGTCATTTTTAGACTTTGTTTCGCCAATTGCCGATCAGCGTGGGCAGGTGGATGCCGTATACTTTGATCTGTCCAAGACGTTTGACATTGTGAATTATTCAGTTCTTGTGCGTAAATTGGGGACATATGAAGTAAATAACCAGCTTTGCAATTTTTTTCAAACTATCTGATATAAAAAAAAAATCTTACTTTGAATATTAGGACATCATTCTGGACCTTATCTGTATTGTTCTGGTGTAACGCACGGGTCCATACGAGGGTCAATTTTATTCGATGTTTTTTTGTTTTTTTTTTTATAAAGGATCTGGGTTCTTGTGTCCGCGATAAACATATTTTGCGATATGCTGACGACATCAAATTGTTTAGGCAGGTGTCGTCCATCTATGACTGTGAAATGCTACTCGAGAATGTTAATGCTGTGCACCATTGGTGTTGCAGCAATCTGTTAACACTAAATCCAAAAAGAACTCTAGTTACATTAATTTCTAAGAAATTGTAAATCAGAAGTTTTTTGTTAATATCTTGACAACCTACCTCTGCGTACGGTTGAATGAACAAGATATTTAGGTGTATATATGGATTCATCATTGTCATTCAAAGGACATGTTTCCAGCATCACAAATGCTGCCTCTCGGACGCTGCGTGTTATTTCGAGAATAAAACGGAATTTCCTTCGTCAGCTTGTGTATTCATTTTGTATTTTTCATTAGTACGTAGCAAGCTTTAATTTAGTTCGGTTGTTTGGAATTGTATTGGTAGTGCAAACAAGACAAAAATTGAAAACGTGCAGAGACTTTTCTGCCGTATTATTTATGATCGCGACATTGGCCGCAGTGTTTATTATGAGTATAATCGGCTTTTAAGACGATGTGGTTGTACTACACTAAGCTCGAGAATACTTGAGCACTATCTAATATTTTTGTATAAATGGGTTCGTGGTCGCCTTGGTTGTTCAACCCTCACATCAGCTATTAATATATATCTACCGCGAGTGCTTTTGAGGGTACATCCCACTTTCTCATGAAAACAAAATTAACCTCTCCACTCCCATGAACTGCATCCAGCGGCGTACCAACTTGTTTTTTGAGAGGCAAACAAGACCCCCCCCCCCCCCGGGTTGGTAAGCCCATGAACGCATCTAACATTCTTAAAACACGTTCAGTACAACCAGCATCGGCATTTTTGACTCAAGTTGTCAAGTGTTTAGGCGTTCAATGCATGGCTGATATTTAATTGTTACCTATTTCCTGTTCCCCCATAATAGATATCATTTCTTGCAAGTGCCGTAGAGTTTTTTGGGCGTACTCCTTTTGACTATGTGTTTCATTGCTTAGGCTACTTGCCGTTCATGAGCACGGGAAATGAATGAATGAATGAATGAATGAATGAATGAATGAAGCAGCACAGCTCTCGCTGTTTAAACGCATCACGTCGTGTGATCGTGGCGCAATTTTTTGTAATAATCCTGTTTATTGGCGCAACCATGGTAAAACCTCGATTTTATTTTCTTTCTTTTAGTCAAGTCAATTCATTCGTTGCATCTGAAAATGGAGGTGCCGGAGCGAAGGACAAAAAGCCAATCATTGTTGGCTTGACGAGGTCTTTCGCGCCGTTTTCGTGAAGGAGGGCAATAGCGATGCAGAAAACAATCAAATTAGCAGATATACTGGAAAACAAATATTAGCAAAGCGTTTTTCATTAAAGAATACACATTTAGCGAAAGTAGGTATATTTATGTATGATCTAAGCTAGATGTCAATGCTATGTATATGATGCTGATGGAGTAATATTCGTACATTATAATGAAGGAATTGCAAACGGTAATTTGTACAATAATGAGACATTCCATTCCATTTCTCTGAGCAGCGGGCTGGGATGGTGGTCATATTTCGGGTTAAATGGGATGTAGGTTTTACATAGCTAACATTTTTCCGAAGATGAATAACAAAATGATCTAGTCAGGAGGTATTCACATAAACAACACACGTTGATAATTTTGGGGCACTGAAAAAATATATATTATTCTTCCTCGTCTTCCTTCTTTTTTATTTTATTTTCTTATACTTCTTTTCATTTATCTTTTCTGCTTATTCTTCTTCAAGCTGTCAGAGACTCCACAATTATGTTTTTTTTTGTTTTTTTTTTCAGCTTAAGAAGTGTCCAATATACATGTTTGTCTTACTACATTACTTACGTGCTTAAACTTTATTGCCATATCTGTTGAAATCATTGTACCTGCAGGATCCAAGCCACACGTTTCCCGACACCTGGCATGACGAGCTGTCTCCGAGTCTGGACGGTCTTGTAAAGGCTGTAAGAAGGCTTGTGGCCGACGCAGGAATGACGACTCTCTCCTGCGAGGTGTATCCAACAAAATCTGACTTCCGCAACGATGAGCTACTGCTCGGTAACGGGTGATTCGAAGCTCCTTTGCTACTCACCAAATGATGATCACGCAACGAGCTAGATGTCTATTTTACCAAACTTTCTGAGCACGCGCGCGCGCGGCGGCATTCCCCAAGATTGTTTCTTCCAGTTGAACCCTAGTCAACGTAATACAATTCCAATAAGTAATATCTACAGCCTACAGATATTTAATTAATATCGCACGAACGCCGACCCGACTTTGGATCGACGCCTTATTGCGGCGTGAAGCGGCGAAATAAACCAAAATAAGCAGAAGGAACACGCCTGCGCCATCGTCGTCGGTGTCATGCTTAAGGTGTGTTTGAGTGAACATCATAGCAGACAACGTTCGCATTGGCGTGTGCCTTCTGCGCGGACGATTATTCTCGCTTGTTTCGTTGCTTCACGCCGCAAGAAAACACTTCTGAGCTAGAAGCACGCCGGCGTTTATACGATAATATTGAAGTATGGGAACGCTGTACGTAATTTGTTTACAAATTTAATCGAAGGTTACGTCGGTTGGCGCTTTCCTGATAAGCTAAAGCTCTACGGGTTAGGATACAACAATCTAAACAATATATGCTTCACAGTATTTTACAGCGAAGTTGTTATATGCTAGGATCTGAAAAAAAATGCGTCCATGAAATTTAACAAAAACCTCCCTTTTAAACGGCACTCCTACGTTCCGTTTGGTCAGGGGAAGTATAAATAAAAAGTGAGGAGAAACCCTGTAAGTCAGCCTTCCTCGGCATTATTCGATAGAGAGGTCTTGATCCCTTTGTCATCACCTACGGTCACCGACCTATCTCAGCTAAGAATGCGCTGTGACGAGGCTGAGGGCATAACGCGCCGATTTAACCTTCTTTCGTGATAAAGAGACTGGCCGCCGAATTCAGAAACCTCACTCAAACTACACTCAAACTGAAGGGCCCCTCCACTTCCTCGAGGAAGGCGCGAGGGCCGGCGCTGGCCAATCGCGACGGCGGATCCGTCCTCGCGATTGGCCAGCGCCGGCCCTCGCGCCTTCCTCGAGGAAGTGGAGGGGCCCTTCAGTTTGCGTGTAGTTTGAGTGAGGTTTCTGAATTCCGCGGTTGGACTCACTCGGAGGGCACTTGGAAAATAAACTTTCCTCGAGGTGTTCATTATAAAATTAGTTTGAGAACATGCCCATAAGTGACTATAAAGCAACGATCAATTTAGTCATTATAATTCAATAAAGACAATTAAACAATGAAGTCGCGTACGTGTATATGTTGCAATCATATGTAAATGGTATGGATATCGTACAGTTCTCGTAAAGTTCTCGTAAAGTTGATGTAAAAATAACAGCTTCTCTAGTTCGCCATCTTCTCGTGAAGTAGATGGGATCTACAATTGTTTTCTGTGAAGTACGCGATCGAATTTGCGTACTTAAATTTATAAAACAAGACGACCGTCCCAGATATTACATTCGCTAGGGGCTTAGAGGAAGTCAACTTACATCGCCAATATATGCACGCTTTTGGGCAACATACACTCGATTGACTGAGCGTTGACCGAGAGTGTGGACCTGCTGAACGACATGATGAAGAAAAACCCCGAATAAACGGGACGTAGTCGCAAAAATACGCAGGACAAGGGCTATTTTACAGAACAGGGGTATCCCCTATTTTGCAGGCGCTTAAATGCATCAATTTCTTTTGGGATTGTCCGGTAACCACAAAATCGGCGATATAGATATTTTTCTACAAGGCTGCTAAATAAAAAATATAAAAAAAAAAACGTGGGCTGTGCTAGAAGAAAAGTCATAACCCTTAAACTTCGAAAATTTTATGGAGCCTTTTAATGTAACCCGATATTCGAAATGGTTTCCAATCTGTCCCGCGCAGGCCTGCTTGTTCCCCTCGTCACCGTGAAGACTGGCACCACTGAAGAGGACAAGGATCGTATGAGGGAAGAGCTGTCCGCAAAGCTCCTTGACGGCTGCACTAGGACGCCCGAGGGTTCAAGTTATCCCTTAGATCTATTCTTTGTCCACGCCCAAAAAATAACTTCTTTATGATAACCGCTGTCGTCGGAACACCAACTACGATCGTGGACACAAAGCGGACAATGGCAGTATTACCGGATCTTTCATTTGTTTCAATCGGAGAAAATCCCCTGTAATTATCCAGAATGCTGCGGCTGACTGACATCGCCAAAAAAAAATAAATTGAAATTTAGGACAACAGTCTACAAAAACCCGCTTACACTCCCCTCCCCCCCCCCCCCCCCCCCCTTCCTGTGGAAACATGCGCTCTCGCAGCGCTGACCCCTCCGACCGAACTTAGAAATGCCCAGCAATGTTGTCAGTATCATCAGCGGTACATGTATAAAATCAGATTAACAACCTCAGGGGCTTAGAGTTGTAAGCCGTGTTCAATATGATGCACCCGAAGTCAGAAATGAATGCACTCGTATTCATTTAGAGTGTATTGATCCGTGTTGTTTTAATTTGTGAGCTTTCAACAGCGCCCACATGTTACCTTGCTTTAACGTACCGAGAAAATGAAATACTTTGCAGCTGCGCCAAGCTGGCCCTGTTTTATTAATACACGGATTGCAGCATCACCCACTTCAAGAATATGGCAGTATCACATTTACTACCATTGTGGACGCACTGCGTATCACGTAATTTCCAGTGCAGAAATATATAGAAGGAAGCTTTCCTATCTGCTCTAGTGTCTCAAGAGTCTGAACTGCCTCAAATAGCCACAACTCTTGAACGAATGTTATATAAAGACCTAAATGAACTTCTAATGCACAGCCGGGATTCCTTCTGCCACTGAAAACTTGGTTGCGCTCCAGCTCTACTCTAAGAAAGCTGAAAGCGATAACTGTAAAATAGTCAGACGCTCACAATGTTGTGTCACGGACTGTTTCAAGTATGAGTTATCAATGGCAGAAAAGGACATCCTAATGTCCGTTCCTGAACGTCAGAAAAACAAGACGTGCGCTGTAGGCGGGTCGGATTCGGAGAAGTCGGAGACACCAATTTCTAAGATATTCATTCGTAGCGCTCAATATTTAAGTGGCGTGATTATAACCACAGTCGTCGCCTCAGGCAAATGCGGATAATCTACTATCATGAGAGGTAAATAGGATAGGTGGCGCGCCTTCATCTGGAGCAGTACACCAGTTGAAGATGCCAGGATTTACCCCCACCGTTTTAAGTGGACCCCTAAACAAGTGTTTATATGACGTTTGAAGCAACGCGCAATGATCATAATTATCAATTGTAGAATTGAATTATGCAACATATACGGCAATCTACTTAGAAAGCTTCGGAGAATGAAATTGTAGTTAAACTTAAAGGGGCAATAATTAGCTTCGAACATTTTTCATACTATTTTATTTCGCATGGCCAGTAAACTCGCAGCTTAAAATACGCAACATCATACGATGGACCAGCTAATAAAAAGTAATCGAGTCGTCTCGTGCAAGAAATGATAAATGTAACTTAGGGCCGGTTGCACCAACGCCGCTTAGCGCAAAGCGGAGCTTAGCGGGGAACCTAAGCTAAGTTTCGGTTTCGTTCGGTTGCACCAAAATCGCTTATCGCTAAACCTAGCACTAAACTACGCTTAACTTGAGCGCTCAACATTGGGCGCTTTGCTTTGGTTGTTTCTTAATCCTGGATTTAAAACATGGCGGCTGGTTTGTCGCGGTCGACGCGGTGGACGAAATTGGTTGTGTAAAGTGTTTTAGGCTACATCAGCGTGAAAGTTTCGACAGAATGACCTTCGATTGTGACAAGGATGCAAAATATTGTCGCGTGAAGTGTTTATCGACCCCTGTTTTCAAGTCGGCTCTCCACTAGGGCGTGTCAGCCCTAACCGAGATACGTACGGAGCTGTGGGTCTGTGGGGCTCACGGGGCTCACGTCTGTCTTCCCGTTGGTTCTTCTGTCAACGAGCTTATTCGTATGTACTTACTAATTTTCGCATAACCGTAACGTATTGTTATTTACCACCTCGTTTATTTACACTTACAGCGCGTATCCTTCAATTCGATCAGCGCGTTGAATAGTGGCAGTACATGATCTTGGCGATCAGCTGATTGTCGACACCTCTGCCGTTCGCATTAGATTGCAGCGCTTTTAAGTAATAAAACAACGAAAATTCAATTTCTTTCGTTTTCTGAGTTTTGAGACAATCTTCAGTGAATTTTCCTAATCTCGCGTGTAGAATCGCGGCTTCCGAAAACTGTATCGTTCCATAACCGTAAATTGTTTGGTGATCGCGATTTTTTAGGAATATTTTGCTTTATATCTTTCATTCGTGGCGACGACAAATCTTAACGACTACTATGTTAGATTCGTTCATTGCTGTATCGGGGCAGGCTGGGGCAGGCGATGCGAAGAGACGACCGTTCTTATCGGCACGATGTGATGTACTCGTGGGAGTTATTTTTTTCTGAACTCGACCCTGTGAAACTGAAGTTCGTTTGAGGCTGCAGCGGATGTTCAACGACGGTACAGTGCAGTTCTGTCACCTTGCTGATAGCAACCACTACCGTCGATACAAGGTCTCGTGACCTGACCTCTCGACGACTTCTATTCGACGATTTCCGGGCATTTTCGCAGCTGCCGTGTTGAGTTTGTCACTGTTTTGAACTTCATCGGTCTCAGGCTTGACTTGATTTTAGTAGTCATCTTACCTGCCTACTTATATCGATGATGTTTTGTCTTCAGCGATGTAGCGAGTAGAGTGTCCTTCTCGCGTTCGGTGAGATTTGGAGCCCCCGATGGCTCCTTCACCTCAAAATGTGAGCACGAAAACTACTACCACTGTCAAAATATCCTGTTATAAACCGATATTAAACACACCATCACAGATGTAAAGAGCATTCGTGTTTATTTGAAGCTTTGACTTCGGTTATTGAAAGTTAAACGAAAAAGTGATTGAATTTGGAGACCTTTAATTTGTTACTCACCGAAGAAATACAGCGAAAAGCAGAATGCCGACGACGGCAGTTTTTTTTTTTGTTTTTGTTTTTTTTACATCACGTGATTCCTTTTCGCCAATCGTATTCGTCCCTCTTAGCGTTCCCTAGTTCGCTTTGTTTGTCCCTAGATTCCCTACGCAAATCCAGCGTTTAGCTAGTGGCGCATCTGTAAAGCCGGCTTAACGTTGGTGCAACCGGAATTTAAACCCGTGCTTACCTGAGCTCGGTTTAGGGCGCTAAGCCGGCTAAGGAAAGTGCCACTTTGGGTTAAGGTAAGCGGCGTTGGTGCAACCGGCCCTTAATGTTCTATTCGTGACCCCAATCGATGGGGACGTCCATGTAAGCTGGTTTTACCCCCATAGTGCAAGTCTGTATCCTTTCTTCGAATTGACTCTTGTGTCTCCTGATTATTTTGTACTTAGATTTGGTAGACAACTATACTTGACCCTCGCACTGCCTGATATCTACTATGTTCGTTTAACAGCGTTTATTCGAGGGGGCAAAGCGCGATAACCGACACGTGGCGATGCGATTTCTGGGTTACACACGTGTGATAAAAGCGGTTATTGACCTATAAAGCGAGGGCATTCTAGCTCACGAAAATGAAGCACTTGTTTTTCCACTGATAAAAAGGCGTCCATATATCTTTAAAAAAAAATGTAGCACCCGTTTATTCTAGAGATTGCTTTCCTGCAACAACCAATGACATGAAGAATTCGCACAATTAGATGTGCGAATGCTTTACTATATTTACCTGATGGCCCTGTATTGACCTTAGCAAGTGGCACTGAACACAAGTTCATACTTCTTCGAATTAAACTGATCTGCAGCAACGACAGCGAGATTGTGCACGAAGCTAAGCTTTTTCTCTCTTTTTTTTTTCTTTTTAGGCAAAGTATTTTATGAAACCAATACACAGAGCTTTTTATTCTTTTTTTTTTTTTTTGCAGATGTTAAAGGCACGGAGTTCGAATAATAATAGGAAAGACTTCGCTTCTCCCGCCCCTCGCCTTTTAATATTTAATTTCTTAACTGAAGACGGCATCAAATACCGCTTTAGTAATGGAGTATATGAAGCTGATGGAGAGTGTAGTCCTAATCACCCCTGAATGAAACACGGTTGAGATTTTAATGCGGTAAAGCGAAAGGCCTATTAATGCTGGTGAATATTTACGTGAATGAAGGAAATGTCATAGACCTATATGATGCGTGAGATGGTGGCCATTTAGACGTTCTGACCTTTTAGCATATCTTCATTTTCTGCTTCAGTGTCGAAGTTTGATTTAATTGGTACAAAACGCTCCAAAATAATTTGTATTGCTATGTTTATGCTTTTAATGTACATAATAAAATTAATAGGGTTTCACAGCCCCACCTATTTAAATAGCTCAGATTGTGCCTATGGGATGGATTTCATGCGACAAACGTCACGTTCGAATGCGGCACAAAAGCGTCACATGCCGACCAAGAAGGTAAAGCACACACAGCCCACAGCATAAGCATGCACAAATGATGTATTCTAAGCTATGCGTTATACTGAGTACTCACAATCAAAGAATGTTAACTGTAAAAATATATATGCGCTGAATATGTAATCCAACGCCAAACCATGCGACCCGCAGCCTGATGTCTTTACTCGGAGCCACGCCGAGCAGGCGAAGGGGAGCGGAAGCACAATCGTAGGCGACAACTCAAGAACGGAGTGGCAAATGTATTTCAAAGGGAATGGTAATCTTCCGCGAGGAAAGCAAAGCCAATCACGTCCGGTGGTTTCCGTAACGTTATGAATTTCGAACCAATCCCGTTTCACAACCACCACTGGGGGCTTATTGTGGGGAAGGCGCCGTCTAACCGTGTTTTCGGTTGGATCTTAAGACCCCCAGGTAATTCAAATGAATGTTCAGTCCCCCACTAAGGAATGCCAGGTGCCCGTCGCTGTTTTCGCACGTAAAGCCCCCAAATTTGACTTCGGTTGGCCCCAGCGACGACAGACTTCATTTATACACAGCTAATCCACATCCCCACTACCACCATCGTGCTGTCGCACCAGGGGGATCTGGATGTTCGTTACAATTGTACATATGCTCCCCATCTCGTTTTTCGGTGGCCACAGCGACAAAGGAATGGCACGTTTAGATGTCGATGCTCTTTGTTCGTTGCATTCTTTTTTCGTTATGTATCCGGAGTGATAGAATGTTTCCTGTTTGTCTGACTTCAGTATCTGAGAAAGTTCGATGACTAAGGAACGGGGGTGTTTAGCTTCACGTTGATCTCATTCAGCACCTTGGCCATCAGGAAGCCCCTGTCGCCATCACGAAGTCGTACTGATCATATGGGAACTGCAGGAATCCGCACTGTCGCACACATTCCTTGTCGGGCATTGACCCCAGAAAAATCCGAGCCACAAATGTCACAGCCACATCTGGGGATATGCCTACGAGTCCCTTGCACATGGTGGTGGACTTCTATGAGAGAAGCGGGCAGATTGGAGTACAAGTGAGCTCGACCCCTGGCACTTCATTTCCGTGGCTTCTAGCATGACCCTCGTTTTTGGATGTTATCTCCCTGAATACAGCAGGCATGCCCTCGTCCACGTGCTTGCGACTTGGTCACAAGACAAGTCGGACAAGATGCTGGTAGAGGTAGCAAATCCACGTTATGCATATACTTGAAGCTGTCGCAACAGACACTCCAAATCGGAATGCCAAGTCCCCCTCGAAGAGCCTAAGGCGCACGCAAACTAAAATAAGAAAAGCTCGTCATCAGGAGGCAAGCTACGAGGTCACCCTTGCATGCTGCTTTCGCAGTAGGACATGGCAAACACCTTGACATTTAGTTCACTGCTTCCTGCGTCCACAAATGTTAGCAGAGAAAAGAATGTACCATAGGATACCGTGATTCCGTAAATTATTTTTCGTGAAATCGGAGGTTGTTATTCGAAGTTTATTTTTTTCCGAAAATTCGGAGTTTATAGGAGATCATTTCTTGTTTGATTTCGAAATCTTCGAAATTCGGAGCTGGATTTCGCAGTGTTTTCTATAAACAATAAATAAATATTATCCAGGAGTAAACGTACGCAAGATAGATAAATATAAAACGCGCTTATATCAATTGATATTTCTTCAGCTGGATTTGGTGTTGGTGCTCTTGACAATACTAAATTTTCCATGGCAAAACTTGCAAACATCTGTGACTTCGATAAACGTCGATACCTTAAGAATAAACTCCAGGAGGTTGTCGCTGCGAAGCACGGATTTATCTTATCCAATTTCAGCTGGCCCACTGTCACGCGAGGTGGTACAGAACTGCACGTCCTCGGGACTGTCCTTGAAACGCTATATCGTAAACTTCCAGGAAATTTTCTTTTTCAGTTTTTGCCTCTTTCGTCTAGATGTTCAATGTGCTTCCTGAGCTTGCATTCTTCGTTTTGAGCTTTAATGAGTTCCTCTTGGCTTTTCTGAAGGTCGGATGATAGTTGACCCGCCAGGTGAGCGTGCTCTGCAGCTTCCTCTTGATGTTC